AGGGGACCCATCTCATCTAGGGGAGGCATTCGGCGTTGATTTTTTGTCTGCCGTTTCACAACTTTCATAGATGACGTTCATGAGGTTGGTTGGGAGGTCACTTATTATCCTCGTCCTTTCTTCTCTGTTACCTACTTTATTGGGATTCGTGCACACAAAGAAAGGAGATCTTGTTCTTACTTTTTCTTTTACGTTAGTGACCCGTGTTAGCTATAGATATAGAAGAAACTAAAAATTTAACTAGGAAATCCCCACAGGCGGCGCCAAATTATTTGACCAAAAAGTATAATCCTTGGTTCAAATAATTAAATTTGTGTGATAAGGGGTTAAACCTAGTTAATAATAATATTTCTAGACGCGAGTTCCAAAAGCGTGATTAACGTTGGACAGATCTGGTAGAGGTATATTAATGGTGTGCAATAATCATTCCAAGTAATATGAGCGATAATAGAGCATTTAATAGCAACGAGTAATAATAAATGACATTTAAGTAAATAGAAGGAGTGATTCACCCAATAAAGGATGAACTAGATGGTTATTCCTTCTGACTATGATGAGTGACACACAAATCCTTGAATGTTTGAATTATTCTCGGATCTGATGGAAAGTGGGGAATAATTTTTGACGAGAATCTTGATGAAAAGGTCATTCTTGTATCTTAGTAAGAAAGAGAATATTTTGCCAAAAGTTTTTTCTTACAGATGAATCTCACGTGTCTCATATCATTGGCCCCTCTTTATATATATATGAGACATATTTCTTACAAACTCTAATAGTACAAAATGCATAGAATATTCGCTAGAATATTCCCTTTAATATCTTGTTTCGAAAACTAGACATTTTTTTCACCAATGTTCGACCTCGGCCATTATCGACATCTCGACCACGACTATGAGTATTTCTGCTTCCTGGTCCACCTCGACTAATGACGACTCGAGAATTCTTCCTTCAAGGTAATTTCATTTCGAAAACTATCTGGCAGATTTCGACCCATACAATAGCCAAATTACCATTTTGTTACACAACAAAATAATATTAAGAGCCCATTTTGCCAAACTGCCAAAAAAATACTTATTTTAAAAAGTGTTTTTGTTCAAAGTGCTTTTTGAATACTTTTGCAAAATAACAGTTTGCTTGGCCAATTCGTTTGAGTAGTGTTTTCTGCAAATTCATTTTGTTTAGCCAATCTTTTAAAAAGATATTTTAAAGTATCATATTACGAAAAAGACAGTAAATATTCAATTTGTGATTAGTAAAAGAAAAATAAAATTTAAACATTTATTATAAAAGAATTCACTTAAAATATAAAATGCAATGTAAAAATATAAATTAAAAATTTCAATCAATATAAAATATAGTTATTACAAAGCAAAAATATTAAATATTTGTATTACTTATTGTTTACATGATAATTTAAATATGTATCGTTTAATATATTATAAAAAATATGATTAAAATAAAAAAGAGAAGAAATTTATAGTAGAAATAAAAAGAAAAAGGAAAATAAAAATAAAAATATTAAATTAATGAAGGATAATTTAGAAAATATAAATATATTGTAAGTTTATTTTTATCTTGAATAAATTAATTTTCTACTTCTGCTTCTATTTCTTGGAAGAAGCTAGAATATATAGCTTCTCCTCAAAAGCAGAAAAATTGCTTCTGCGGCTCAAAAGTACTTTTTTATTTAGGCCAAACATCTTAAATTTTTTAACAAGTACTTTTTTAACGAGCTTGGCCAAACATGCTCTAAGTCTCTGTTTTAAAAAGCAGAATTGGAACTCGCCTAGGGCTCGCCCTGGGGCGGAGCACTCGTAAAATGCCCTTGGACTTATGTTTGGGGCTTAGTTTCGTGAGACTTACGCTTCGGCCGTCGGGGCTTACGCCCCGGACACGCCCAACACCCAGCGTACTGGGCTCGCCTAATAGAAGTTTATGCAATTGCGTGTAACTAACCTTGTAAATCCTCAAATTTTCTTAATAAATCATTGACTATTCAAAATTACTTTTTTCTTAATCTTAAATCATTAAGTTGAGAGTACTTTATGTCATAATTCAAAGAAAAATTATTGCACGTTATCCACTAAGACTGCTATGATAGTAAATTTTAAATAAATCTTTTATTTAAAAAGTATTTGTTTATTAACTTTTGTTATGTCTTTAATATATAATAATCCATAATTTTTTATAATTATTTTCCTAATTTTTTTTACGTTTACGAGATACAATACTTATTAATTTAATAACTCAATATTAACTAGTAATTATTTACAAATAATTAGTTATCGTGGTATAGTATGGTGAATTATGTGTCCCTTTATTAACTTGTTGAAACTTAAAAATAAATGATGCTAGAGAATCATATTTAAATTGTGGATTATGTTTTTATATAAATTCTCTTTCAAATAGAAAGTATATTAATAAAAGGAGTATTTAAAATATCAAATTATAGTATCGAAATTCTTTTAAGATTCTTTACTCCCTATGAGATACATATCAGATTTAGTATCGAATACATTACTTTTGATGTTTGAATTGTAACGACGTTGCATCTAATTTGCATATTATGATATATGTCATCCTTTTCGTATTATTCATAGTTGAATTATAATTTATAAATATTTTAAATAGATTATTTGTTATAATTTTGTGATTTTAATATAATTTTTATAATTTTTTTTAATTTTATACTATCTTAAAATTCTTGAAATTAATAAAATTTAAAGATCCTTGGGACTTACGCCCCATGTCTCAAGGCTTACGCCTCGCCTCGTCAGATATAAAATACCTCGCCTCACGCCCCACCTTTTAAAACATTGCTCTAAGTAGAGTTAGCCTGCAAGTGTATCCATAATAATAAATCGTGGATCTCTTATTCAAATCATCATTTAATTAGCCTGCAAGTGTATCTATAAGAATAAATCGTGAATCACATTTAAATCATCATTTAATTAGCCTCCCCTTATTTACACAAATTCCAAAAGAAAAAACACAATGTTAGCTGACATCTTTAAAAAACAAATTTGGTGCGAAAGGGAGGCCGAGTAGGAATATGGAAGGCTATAATTTTAAAGTCTTACACCAATAAAAATTCAGAGAATTTTGTACCAATGAATTATAACTCAATTCTCATTTGATAATTAACTTGCGTTCAAATTTTCGTATATGGACCTTGAAAAGATGGTTTAACTTGATTAATGGTTGTACACGAACAAATGAATGTTAAAACTTGACAACATCCACAATGAAGACCTTTACTCTGCAATCCTTGAAAATAAAATAATATAGGCTAAAATTAAACCTGATATATAGATGTCAAATAATTAGTGGATAGATTCTTGCTCTGAGATCCAAATCGAACTTTATGCATTACATAGTAGGAATTTTTACCTCCTATAGCAAAGGTTAACACTTTATTTATTTTAAATAAATACCATTTAAAAAAATTATATTTTATAGATACCTTTTAATGTTTATAGCAAAATATCTAATTTTGGTTACCTCCTAACCCTAATCCACTAAATACGCTATTCAGTTACAATATTTTCTTTTTTTTTCTATTTTGATACATGTCATTCTCTTCCCCCATTCCTCTCACCCACATCACCTACGTTCTCTCCGATCCCAGCCCAGCACAACACAGAACAAACAATTCTCTTTCCCTACACAAAACAACACAACATTAAAAACCTACACAGAAAAAACGAACCTACACAGCTCTACTCAATCATCTAGAACAAAATCAAGCAGGAAGCCATAGACGATAATTATTTGTGCCCTAGCTTTAGTAGCTTCGGATACTTGGCTGAAATTGCCGCTAAAATCTCCGATGAATTTCAAGAGGCAACGGAGGAGAACGCTAGCGATTGCTTCGACGGAGATAACAACAAGGAATTAGATTCTGAATTCTCAACTATGGAACTCATCTACGACAGTCAAATNTACGACGGTCAAACTGAATTTCAGTCAATTTCCCCTGTTTTCAACCGCGATCTATTATTAAACGTTAATTCCATGGATTCATATGGAGTTAGGGTTTGTTCTTGAACAAAGACGACGGAGTTTGGGGTTGAGCAACTTGATTTTTTGTTAATATATTTCAATGTATTTTCAACGTATCATGCTGTATTTTCATGTATTTCATTGTATTCATTTTCTTTTTTTTTTTTCCATTGTAATTCAATGTATCTCGCTGTATTTCCGTGTATTTCATTATATTCACTATCTTTTTTTCATTGTATTTCAATGTATCCCGCTGTATTCTATGTATTTCATTGTATTCACTGTCTCGCTATATGCCATGAATGTATTCATATATATTTTTTAATTAATATAATTTATGTATTCAGATGTATTATATAATTTTTCTGAAGATTGCTATGTTTTTAGGGTATTTTTCGGTTGAGAATCTTTTTTTATAACTGGAAATACAAAATTTATGTGTTATAATTAAGTTTGTTGAGTTATATTAGGTGTCTATTATATTAATTGATTCACTTTTCGTTTAAAAATAGTGTAATCCCCATGCCGTGAATACAGTCGAATACAATAATCTGTCCAGCTATAATCCCATGTTTCACCCATGAATATAGTCGAATACACTCGAATACAACAACTAATTAGCTGGACTTCCCTAATTCACGCCTATTTTTGCTACTGTATTCATGAATACAATAGTTTAAATACATCTAATACATCTTATAACAACAGAAAACATATACAATCCGTAATATAACAAATGATATTTATAGATAGCTAATTACTACTAATAGATAGTGCTTTATAAAAATTTCCCTACATAGTACTTATATTGAACATTGTAACAATATTAAGACGAGCTACATAAACTATAACAATTTAAACACTTTGATTTAGTACATATATTTCATTAATTGTTAATAATATAGCTAGAACTTTTTCAGAGTAACACCATAAGCCTATCTCTCCAGCACATTTATTCTAGACTGCTTTCTCGACCTCAGCTACTAGATTTAGTACTCCTACTTTGCAAGTTCACCTGCAACAGAGAAAAAAAATTAAAACAAAAACTTTAGGCTTTGTTAAGAAAAAATGACAAGGAGTAGTAGTATGTAGTTCCTTAGGATATGCATAAATTATGAGTAGATTGTTTTATAAGTTTTTCCATAAGCAAGTCAATTTTTGGTGTTTGGTTAGCACAGAATATTTTCCATAAAAAAGGACAAATGACTTTCTTCGGGCTCAAAGACTTTCAGTGAACTATTGAAGCTATCGAGAGAGTACCAAATGCTGACGGTGACGAAGGTTACTGACTTTCGGTGGACGCGGAGCCAACGAGTTCTTTTTTTTAGTGTAGATCTACTCCGGTGCCTATTGGATCTTCTGACACCCAATCGGGTTGCCTTTCCCTCATTAGGTCTTCACTGAAGGATTGTCCACCTTCTCAAGCCTCTCTACCATACCCTTAGAAAGTGACAACGGATGGCTTCCATTACTATAAGTCATTTTCCTTAGCCTTAATACTCAAAAGTATTCATCAAAACACTATCCGATATGCCAATGTGTTTATTAATCTTGGCTAGCAATATTTTTTACTCACCAGCCAAACATCATAAAAAAAGAAAATATTTTAGATAGAGATATATTAAAGAGATCATCATTTATTACATGGTTCAAAGTTGGCAGTGCACTTATCAGGAAGCTGCAAGGCCATGGTTCGATCAACACCAGAAATAGGAGGGCCATTGATAAGAACACAGAGACATGGCTGCCCTAATGCCTTGATCGACGCGCAACACGCCTCGCTTGGTGGGATCGGACTGAACGGAGCTACTGCTGCCCTACATGGAATGAGCTGAATCAATGCCGAAAAGAAAGTTGCACTACAAGGATGTGCATTGCTTTCTTTCATCACTAAACTTGTGATGGCCACGAATAAAACAAGCATTTTTAGAGTACTAGTGTTTCCGCTTGAAACCTTCATCCTTTTAATTTGGACTACAAAAGACGTCAGATTATTTTTTGATGGAAATTGATGTGAGAGTACGTAGAATATATATAGGAAGATTAATTTGTTACTTGGCTAATTTCATTTTTCGATGAGCTAACTACTCTTCTACTAGTTATATCACGATTATTATGCTTGTAAAATAGTAGCTGTTAATTAAAACTCAACTTTCATGACTGACCTTCCTCAATATTTGAACTAATTTTAAGTAAATTGTAGTGATTTGTAAATGCAAAAAGTTGGTTGGAAAATTAAGAATAGGCTACGCTCATCAGAAAATTATCGAGGTAAATTAGCAAAGGTATTGTAACTGTAATAGCAGATGGCATTCGGAATTTAAAACTGAAAAATGGGATAACGTATGTAGCTCCTCTGATTTTTTGATTCATTAGCAGTTTATTTTCAATTAAGTACTCCCTCCGTTTCAATTTATGTGAACATGTTTATGTTTGATTAAGTACGAAGTTTAAGAAAAAATGAAGAATTTTGGAATTTGTGGTCCTAAAAGTCAAAAAGGGCCCAGAGTATTTGTGTGATTATAAAAACTTCTCATTAAGGGTAGATTGTAAATTTAAACTAAATTATTACCAAATTTAGAAATGAATCATTTTTTTTAGAGCGGACCAAAAAGAAAATGGGTTCATGCCGGAAGAAAAGACAAGTAAACGCGTTAAGTACAATCAGAAAGAAAACATGTTAAAAAACCCGGAAAGGAAACAAATTAGGGAGTAACTAGCTTATCAACGTGGCGACTATAGATTTGTTACTTTGGTAGCACAGAGATTATTATCCGATCTATCATCCTATTCAGATCTTGACCGTTAAAACCAAATCTTAACCAATCAACGGCCTTCATTCACTCTCAATCAGCGCACCGCTAAAAAAATTCAAACTCTTTTTAAAAATTTCCAAAAATATCCCGCCCACCTTCCCTCCTATATAACTTCCCATCACACATCTCACCATTATTCCCCAACCAAAGCAGATCCCAATCTACAAAACTCTTTCATATTTTGATCAAAAATTCGGAATGGCTCGTACCAAGCAAACTGCTCGCAAATCCACCGGTGGAAAGGCTCCTAGGAAGCAGCTAGCTACCAAGGCCGCTAGAAAGTCAGCTCCAGCGACCGGAGGAGTGAAGAAGCCTCACCGTTTCCGTCCAGGAACTGTGGCTCTCAGGGAAATCAGGAAGTACCAGAAGTCTACTGAGTTGTTGATAAGGAAGCTGCCATTTCAGAGGCTGGTGAGGGAAATAGCACAGGACTTCAAGACAGATCTGAGGTTCCAAAGCAGTGCTGTTGCTGCTCTTCAAGAGGCTGCTGAAGCTTACCTTGTCGGACTCTTTGAAGATACCAATCTCTGTGCCATTCACGCGAAGAGGGTCACCATAATGCCAAAGGACATTCAGCTGGCCAGGAGGATTCGTGGTGAAAGGGCTTAGGAAGATGCTTTGTTGTGCTTATGCTTATGGTTGATGTTCTTTTATCTGTCTTAGGGTTTTGTTTGCATCTTTTGTTGGACGTTAGGGTTAGTGATGTAAATCAAATGACTCCTTTTGATCAAAGCATATGTAAAACCTCTGGTTTACTAGTATTTGATTAATGAAATCTGTAGTTCATTTTGTTTCAATCAAAGGTGCTTCTCATATGAATTGGTTTGAATTTTGCAAATCTGCAGGTCCTTTATGCATTTTCTGAAATTGAGCTTGATTTTGATCTGTTAATCCAAATTCGGTTGTCTTAATGGATATTGTAGTCATTGAGTTGGGTTGATGTTGATTTTTATTTTTACCTAAATCCATTGAATGTTGAAGTGGTAGCTGTTTTGACAATATATTGAAGTGCTGCAACTGTAGTTTTAAACTGACAGAGCTATTGTAACTCGTTCAACTTATTCAATGTTTTGCTGTATAAACTAGGTATATATCCATTGATGAGTCAATTTGGACAAAATCTAAAGTATCAAATTGAAGAGCTCAGGTTTGTTTGGGAGAATGTTCTGGAATGTTAGGGTCATTGGTCAAATCTCATTATCTTGAGCAATGAACATATGTGAAGTGTTGAGTTGTTACTTCTCTGTCTGTTTCATTTTGCGTTAATTTAAAGTTTCCATGAATATCCTGCTATATACATAAGTGTCTCTGTATCTGCTTGCGTGTGTAGTGTATTTCAAAAACAGTTTAATTTAAGAAGATTTTGCCCTTACATCTATAATGAGAAGTTGCTTTGTTTGTTCCAATACTTCTGTTTTCTTATACATGACTTAAAAATGTCAACGGTTGAAAGCTAAAACAAGATGTAAATAACCTGATTGAAGAATGAGATTTGGATCTTTTTTCTTTAGTAATATATAGCTTTAACATATTGATATTGTGGAGTGTAGCTCTTATAAGCATAGATGCTTAGTGATTGTATATCAAAAATTGAAAATGTTTCACTTTTGTCCTCTAATTCACTTCTTACCACTACCATATGTACAGGTATTAGGAGATCAACAGCAGCATTCTAGTTCTTTGTAGATCTGTTAAACCAGAGTATAGGAAAACAAGGCTCAGTTGCTCTGTTGTTCCTAAGATTTTCTACTCTCAATTCAACTTTGGCGTAAAAGGCCTTGCTATATTGAAATCAGAGGTGTCTAGCCTCTGCATTTACTTGTTAATAATCAGAAGGTAAGTTCAGTTTTATTGTCTGGCAAAATAACCCTTGCGTATTACTTTTCTCGTTTCTAACCTGAGATGTACCATTCTACTTTCAGACATCTCGTCTCCTTCAACTATTAAGTCTTTCTAGAACAAATTTGAACTTAGAGCTGATTGAGTATGTGAAAGTACGGCTATGAAAAGGAAGGTGATAGTTACTAGTTACAGATTAGAAAGTCCCTTTATTTTCTGACTGTTTGTTGCTTATATAGGTCAGTTTTCTTGGATTTTCAGCAGTGGAAAGTAGAATCCATTTGTTGACTCTCCTGATATTTTAGTAATCGTGGGGCTCAACTAGCCAAGAAAATATGACAATTATAAAGAGTGCAGCCTACAAATAAGCTTGACTTAGTTGAATGATATTGATCATATGACAAAAAACAAAGCTTCTTCTAAATGGCAGTAATATACTACTAATAGTAGCAACTTCTCAATGGAGAACAACTGTCAGAGCCATGCTTGCAGTTTGGATTGTCCTAGTATTCTTTAGGTTACAAACATCACACAGCATTTTTGCTCTACTTACTTGCAATAAACGACTATAATGGTCCGGAGTGCATATCCTTAATCGGTTGATCCAAATTAAGTTCATTTTTGGTTGTGTTACTTCACTTACAGTAACAAAATATCGAATTATATTCAACAAAAATGTCTAAAATGTACTTGTATGAACCCTGCAAACTGTCATTTAAAGGGCGGCCCAACGAATTTTGTGGCCTAAAGCCAAACTTTTTAAGGGGCCTTAACTTTTTAAATTTTTCTTTTTATTTATTTGAAGTCTATTTGTTTTTAGCTTTCTTAGATACAAAGTTATTAATGGTTTTCTTATAATCAACAACTTCTAATAAGTATTTTTCAACTGAAAATATAGCTAATCCGTTTAACCTTTCTTGTGACATTATTGTTCTTAGGTAAGATTTTATCAATTTTAATTTTGAAAACTTCTTTCTGTTGAAGCAACAGTAACATGAGTTATTAACATTATTCCATAGAAATTTAGGTATTTGGAAAAGAATTAAATCTTTTTATTTGATGAAATGTATCAATTAAACTGTAATCTTCTAATTGTACTATTTTCCTTAATAATTTTAATTTAGAAAATAAATTTAAACCATCAATATCGAATTGATTATTATGCTTTAAGGAACATTCAAGATTAAGACAATATTTTTTTTAAATTTCCAACATCTAGTGATCTTAGTTTTTACTACCAACAAAAAAGCCAATAATATTTTCATATGCTTTGAATTGTTCAAATCTATTTTGAAGTGAAACAATAGCATTATCTATTATGTATAAAAGTAATCAACTCTAAAGGACCCTTCGAATGATTTTGAGATTTCTTTATCAACATTAACATCAAATTGTTACTTCCTATATATCACACGTTTCTTACGAAATTCAGGTTTGATATTTATTTCAAGTGCAATTTCCTAGGTAGAAATCATAGCAGTTACACATCCCTCTTCTCTATAAAAGAAAGAAATTAAACTTTTTCACTTCATAGAACCTTTTTTAAAAATTTATATATAGTCTATTAGGTGTAACATAAAATGGGACCTCTACAAACATGGGACCTAAAACGGTTGCTTTACTTGCTTTATGAAAGGGCGCACCTGTTTGTATGTTCCATAAAAGGTTAAACTTTAATTTAGTTTCTCATTAACAAATTATGTTGAGTTTTTTNTTCATGTTAGAACTCAAATTGAAAATACGAAAAATAAAAAAAGAGTTCATATTATTATGTTTAATTATCATACAAAGAATTTAATTGGATGGTAATATTCAAATCCAAATAAATTTATTTCTAGATTGAAATTCAATAATTGTCACAGAAATTTAAGGTAAAAATTAATATAAGGGCAGTCCAGTGGACTAAGCTCTCGCAATGTGCGAGGTTCAGGGAAGGGCCGGATCATAAGGGTCTATTATCCGTAGCCTTAAGGTGAAAAATTAATACTTATTTTTTATTTTATTTAAAACATTCAACAATATTTAGATGATGAAATAATTTTTCTTAGACCCCTAGAATTGATTAAATTTTTTTAGTAAAAACAGAATGTATCCTAATTGTACTGAGTAATTTTTATCTTCTAACGAAGGCTTTGACACATTCGAATTTAGCTACAACTGAAAGTTTAAGATCTTCTATTCCAATTCAAACTTGTTAGTACGAACTATTCATATTTTTGAGTTGGAAATTTATAAAATTCTTTTTTAATAAATTAAAAGGATGAAAAGTTTCAAAAAAAGTAAAATTGGTAAATTATGAATTTTG